GCAGAAGTAGGTCGTCGGCTCCCCGTCGACGGCAACACCGTAGCGATCCCCTGCAGCTTGACGAAGCCCGTCGAGCAGCTCTCTCGCTGCATACGGTCGGCTACTTCTCCCGTACACCCGACCAGGACGTCGGCGTTGCCCAAGTGAGGGCGGGGCCAACACTCTATTCCCGAACGTGCGCGGCCCCCCTTGTTGCTGTCCTCGTCGCTGACGTTGTGGTCAGGACATTCAAAGGAGAGGTGGTTTGGGTCGCCGCAGACCCAGCACTCCCACCGTCGACCACCACCTTATCGACCGCTGTCCCTAGCCGACTTCCTCTGGTCGACTTCCTTCTTCGACCTCCCACCTCCACTACCACCTCCGTTCGGCTTCCCGCGCTGCCCCTACTGACGACTCTGCTTCGTCAGTGCAGCATAGTTTGCCTGTGAAAGGAGCTCCGAGGGCCATTTTGCCTCCTGCATTGCCTCATCCTTGATGATGAGGTTGGTGAGGGTGTCCTCATCGAGTGACTCCCGCATACCGCGCATCACTAACATCCGGCGCATGAGGTTGTAGCCGCTCAAGAGACCCTTGATGACGTGCGTCATGTAGGACGCTGTCGAGTAGTCGACGCCCGCCATCTGCATCTCGGCGAGGATCCGTTGAGCACGATTGCAGTAGTCCGTCGTCGACTCCTGCTCGCGCATCCAGAGTTGAGTCATTCGTTCCTACAGCTGCATGATGTACAGGCCTGGTACGTCGATAGGATGAACCGCCACGCCTGGTGGCCGGCATCCAACCGCTGTCCACAAGGCTTTAGCGCTATCTGCACCACCGGCGAACAGCACCTCGATATGACCATGAAGGTCAGCAGGTTAGCGGCATGAAACTCCGCTCGCAGCTCGACGATGTCCTCGACCGGTGTCGGCACAACGCGGTCGGCGAAGCCCTTCAGCCTGGCGATCTCCAGCTGAGGCTCGATAGCCTCCCTCCACATGATGAGACCTCGTCAACCTTGCAGCGGCGTGGTCACGGCTATCTTGTCCGGCGAGAACTTGAATTATCCAAACGTCGGAGCGATACCGCCCGACGTCATATGCGTTGTTGACGTGGAGCTTCCACTACTTCGCTGAGGTGAGCGACGTTGACCGTCGACATCGACACGCGAGCTACCTACGGCTCTCGTCGACCGCTGCACTCGCGCTTGACTCCCATCGACGCCACCGTCGACCCTGACCACTCTTACCTTCCTCGTGCCCTCACAGCCGCCGACCCGGTCACTTCCATCGACCTCCTCGTCGACGCTGCCCTCGTTTTTCACCGGTCGAGGAGAAGCAGGTGGGGAGGGGTGTTTCGTCGCCCACTGCGCACAGATCCCCGGGATGACCACATCCAAAGGGAGCACCTGCCCAAACTCGCAAGCCGTGTGGCATCTCCTCGCATCAGCCAATTGAGACTCCAAAGGTATCCGCTATGCCCGCTTCCAGGGTGCTGGCCTACGAACGACTTAGTAGGTGCAAAAGTCGGCTCCTATCTTAATGTAATCCGCGGGGCCGTCCACGCTCACCGCACCATGTGGACATTAACTCTACCACGATACGAGCTGGACTATGAGGTTAGTACGAGTTGTGTGAGTGATCGTAGCGTTCCTTAGCGTTCTCTAGCACTCGTGCGTTCATAGAGAAATTTGGCAAGAGTTTCACTAGGGAAAGTTGCATTGCAGAATGATTGAACAAACAATGGCAAGAATGACTACATCAGAGCCTAGCAACCTAGCAGGCAAGCTGATCGACTGGCAGCACAGCAAGGTCGATCGCCTGCCAGCGTTACGTAGAGGAATCGCGCCAGCGGTGCACAAAGGCGGCTTGCCAACCGAGCAGGTCGACAGCGTGCCAACGCTGCAGCAAACCGGCCATCCAGCGTTGCACCCGTAGATGAAAGCAGCGCACATGCTCGCAGGTGCCCGTAAACGATTGGCACGACATGCACCGTCACGCGTCATGTCGGCTAGTGTCTGCGCCTTGTGAGCCACATCGAATTCAGGATACCAACCCGAAGTCGCCTTCGCTATCGTCGCCTCGACGACGTTCGCGTGCCTCTGCACAACCTCGTCAAGGAGGTTACTTGGTACACTGGTTCGACCACCCAGCGCGCGCCCTGGTCGACGACCCACCTCGTCAACCACCACGCCCGTCGAAGACCATCCACCTGGTCGACGGCCCGTCCATCGACTAGCTTGGTCTACTGCAATCGTTGAGATCCCCATCGACGGCATCGTGGCATCGGTCCCCTGCAGCTCAACAAAACCCATCGAGCTGTTCGCCCAGGCTGGCGTGCTCGGCCGGCTGCTTCTCCCATGCACCCGACCAGGAAGTCGGCGTCGCCCAAGCGAGGGTGGGGCTAACACTCCATTCCCGTTAACAAAACACATTGTTATAAATTTATTAATTTCATTTATTATGTAGCCCTAGACCGTGGCTTGAGGACCCTTCTCCCCCATTCGTACCCATGGCGTTCTAACGGCAACGATGTACTAACCCAAGCTCTGATACCACTTGTTACTAAGAATATGCACTAATCCAACTGCTATTAGCCTCAGCTAAAACTATAACTCTCTCCTCGGGGTCACCTCCGAGGGTCCCTGGGTGCTTGACCAAAGTCAGCCCCTATCCAAGGGTCCGAGCTTGTAGTGGTCACTGAGTTGCTGCAACGTTGAGCTCTTTCTTGGCGTAGTCAAACGAATAGTAACCTTGGCAGCGTTCTGGCAGCAGGCATGGGGAAACTTTCTACTCAAGTTATGTTGAAACAAGAAAAAAAGAAACAGATTTATACAAGCCTATATCTTTTTAATTTTCCTACCTTGTTTCTAAGTTTCTAGGTTCAGTCCTCGTAGCGTGGACACATGTGGACTTTCCCTCCAATTTGTTTTGTTGGCCTAGTGCACTCTCGATGCGTCGCGAAAATTATTTGAAAATCCCCCATGAAGAGTTCTGACGGTGCCGATTAGAACTTTTCTCTTCGTGCTCTTTGCGAATGGTTACGATGAAGTCCTTTTGAATCCTGTGCGTGAGATGAAAACGGTGGCGTTCAACTATATCGATAACTTGAAAAGTAACTCGAACTGCACCCAACCGGTGCTCACCACGTGTGCCTCGATTTCGAGGCGTGAACAACTCTTTATCCGAGCTGTCACGTATATTCAGAGTGTGAGTAACTGTTCTCACCACTCGATCGCTTCGCTGGTCTCGCCACCAGCGCAACATTCAATTTGCGAGCCTGTAACACTCGCGTTACTCCATACGAAGTGCGCACGATTGCTCGCGCATTGATGAAATGAACACGCCGCGTGAGCAGCGACCAATCAGGAACTGTGGAAGTGCGAGCAGTTGCTCGCTCGATCATCCGAACAGCTGCCACCTCGATCAAGACTTCAGCGTGAACAGCGGCCAATCAGATTCCCCCCAAAGCACTCTCTCGAGCACACGAGCAGCTCGATCAAAGTCGCAGAATGAGCAGCAGCCAATCGCACCAGCGGAACATAGAGCAAGCAGCTGCTGACTAATTTTGAACAGCTTGCCCCCAAAGTTAAAATCGATCTTTGAACCCCACCGGCCGCTCCCATTGGTCGAGGCTTTGGATGACACAGAAAACACAGCTCCAAAATACGCAGCTCTGATGCACGCTGTATAAAACGAAATCGGCATATTGAATTACATAATATTGTTTCTGCAATCAACAAAACTCCCCCTCGATCTGTCAATTTTGTGCCACGACCCCTCTGCTTCTGACTTGTCCGTTCCCCAACCAGGTAATCACCATTGAACCGTTTTGAACTTTCACTAATGATTTCCGCTCACGTTGCTCCAACTTCCTCAAAGTACTGACAAGCAACGGCAACCCCATAATCCCTGCTACTTCATCAGACACCACTGGGCTTGCTCCCATCACCTCTCTCAACAAGCTGCTTCTGTCCTGACAGTCCCATGCAACTTCATCCTGTGTCTAGCATCTTCCGCACTTCCTGTTTTGTTATCACAATCAATGTTTCACCACTCTCACGTGACCGGAGCTTAATAGCATCGTTCCTTCCCAGATTTCTCCTGCTTCATCACCGTACGTGTTAACAGTTTTAATCTCAAAACGCGTTAACATTGCCCTCCACTAATTTGCGCGCCCATTGCTTGAGCTTCTTTAGAACTTTGACGAAAGCAAATACGTTTTGAGATTTCACAACGTCACCAATCAGCGCACCGTAGCCCCCATCGGTTTTCTCACCACCCTGTTCCTCCACATTGACGATGTTGTCTTGCTTCATACGCCTGTCGATTGATTTTTCTCAGCTGATTCGCTTCCATCCCGTCCTGCTCTTAGACGACCTTTCCTTGCTTGTATCCGCCATGTGAAGATTTAACTCACCTGTAACTCCTCCTTTTATACCTTATAACCCATCCTTGGCAGATTGAATTACAGAATATTGTTTTCGTAATCAACACCAATTTTACGTGAAGCTATCAAAGAGCGACTTCGCCCAGAAGAATGCGCAGTTCCTATGGTACAAGATGGGTGCTGATGGCGTTCACGTGGACTCGCAAAAGATCTAAGCCATCAAGAAGTGGATTTTTTTTTAGAATGTTGAAGAGTTGCAGCTTCTTTGGGTTTGCCAACTATTACAACAAGTTCGTTCCATAGTAAACTAAGACCGCAGCGCCACTAACAAACTTACTGAGAAAAGATGCGTCATATAAATGTGATACTCCTTAACAACAAGTCATGGAACAGCTACAGACAGCACTAGCCACTGCCCAGTACTCATCCTACCGGATCCAAAGAAAGACTACGAGGCGGAAGCAGACGATTGTGACCAGGCAATCGGAGCAGTAGTGATGCAGGATAACGGGCGCGGTTTGCATAGAGGCAAAATCAGAACATGGGTGCCACCAAAGAGGCCTGCACAGAGCAAGTGGGCATCCAAATTTTGGTATGTAGCATTCAGTTGTTGTAAATTGCCCGTCGTAATATATATGGTGCGGATCCCTCCGCCGGGCCGTCCCCCGCCGGGCCGTCCCCCGCCGGGCCCCGCCGGGCCGTCCCCCGCCGGGCCCCGCCGGGCCGTCCTCCGCCGGGCCGTTCCCCCCCGCCGGGCCGTCCCCCGCCGGGCCGTCCTCCGCCGGGCCGTCCCCCACCGGGCCGTCGTCCGCCAGGCCGTCCGCCGTCGGGCGCCGTCGGGCGCCGTCGGGCGGGCGGGCGCGGGCCGTCGGGCGCCGGGCCGTCCGCCGTCGGGCGCCGTCGGGCGGGCGGGCGGGCGCGGGCCGGGCCGTCCGCCGTCGGGCGCCGTCGGGCAGGCGGGCGGGCGGGCGCGGGCCGTCGTCCGCCGTCGGGCCGTCCGCCGTCGGGCCGGGCGCCGTCGGGCGGGCGGGCGGGCGGGCGCGGGCCGTCGTCCGCCGTCGGGCCGTCCGCCGTCGGGCCGGGCGCCGTCGGGCGGGCGGGCGCGGGCGCGGGCCGTCGTCCGCCGTCGGGCCGTCCGCCGTCGGGCCGGGCGCCGTCGGGCGGGCGGGCGCGGGCGCGGGCCGTCGGGCGCCGTCGGGCCGGGCGCCGTCGGGCCGGGCGCCGTCGGGCGGGCGGGCGCGGGCGCGGGCCGTCGGGCGCCGTCGGGCCGGGCGCCGTCGGGCCGGGCGCCGTCGGGCGGGCGGGCGCGGGCGCGGGCCGTCGGGCGCCGTCGGGCCGGGCGCCGTCGGGCCGGGCGCCGTCGGGCGGGCGGGCGCGGGCGCGGGCCGTCGGGCGCCGTCGGGCCGGGCGCCGTCGGGCCGGGCGCCGTCGGGCGGGCGGGCGCGGGCGCGGGCCGTCGGGCGCCGTCGGGCCGGGCGCCGTCGGGCGGGCGGGCGCGGGCGCGGGCCGTCGGGCGCCGTCGGGCCGGGCGCCGTCGGGCCGGGCGCCGTCGGGCGGGCGGGCGCGGGCGCGGGCCGTCGGGCGCCGTCGGGCCGGGCGCCGTCGGGCCGGGCGCCGTCGGGCGGGCGGGCGCGGGCGCGGGCCGTCGGGCGCCGTCGGGCCGGGCGCCGTCGGGCCGGGCGCCGTCGGGCGGGCGGGCGCGGGCGCGGGCCGTCGGGCGCCGTCGGGCGCCGTCGGGCCGGGCGCCGTCGGGCCGGGCGCCGTCGGGCGGGCGGGCGCGGGCGCGGGCCGTCGGGCGCCGTCGGGCGCCGTCGGGCGCCGTCGGGCCGGGCGCCGTCGGGCCGGGCGCCGTCGGGCGGGCGGGCGCGGGCGCGGGCCGTCGGGCGCCGTCGGGCCGGGCGCCGTCGGGCCGGGCGCCGTCGGGCGGGCGGGCGCGGGCGCGGGCCGTCGGGCGCCGTCGGGCCGGGCGCCGTCGGGCCGGGCGCCGTCGGGCGGGCGGGCGCGGGCGCGGGCCGTCGGGCGCCGTCGGGCCGGGCGCCGTCGGGCCGGGCGCCGTCGGGCGGGCGGGCGCGGGCGCGGGCCGTCGGGCGCCGTCGGGCCGGGCGCCGTCGGGCCGGGCGCCGTCGGGCGGGCGGGCGCGGGCGCGGGCCGTCGGGCGCCGTCGGGCCGGGCGCCGTCGGGCCGGGCGCCGTCGGGCGCCGTCGGGCGGGCGGGCGCGGGCGCGGGCCGTCGGGCGCCGTCGGGCCGGGCGCCGTCGGGCCGGGCGCCGTCGGGCGCCGTCGGGCGGGCGGGCGCGGGCGCGGGCCGTCGGGCGCCGTCGGGCCGGGCGCCGTCGGGCGCCGTCGGGCCGGGCGCCGTCGGGCGGGCGGGCGCGGGCGCGGGCCGTCGGGCGCCGTCGGGCCGGGCGCCGTCGGGCCGGGCGCCGTCGGGCGGGCGGGCGCGGGCGCGGGCCGTCGGGCGCCGTCGGGCCGGGCGCCGTCGGGCGGGCGGGCGCGGGCGCGGGCGCGGGCCGTCGGGCGCCGTCGGGCCGGGCGCCGTCGGGCCGGGCGCCGTCGGGCGCCGTCGGGCGGGCGGGCGCGGGCGCGGGCCGTCGGGCGCCGTCGGGCCGGGCGCCGTCGGGCCGGGCGCCGTCGGGCGCCGTCGGGCGGGCGGGCGCGGGCGCGGGCCGTCGGGCGCCGTCGGGCCGGGCGCCGTCGGGCCGGGCGCCGTCGGGCGCCGTCGGGCGGGCGGGCGCGGGCGCGGGCCGTCGGGCGCCGTCGGGCCGGGCGCCGTCGGGCCGGGCGCCGTCGGGCGCCGTCGGGCGGGCGGGCGCGGGCCGTCGGGCGCCGTCGGGCGCCGTCGGGCCGGGCGCCGTCGGGCGCCGTCGGGCGGGCGGGCGCGGGTGCGGGCCGTCGGGCGCCGTCGGGCCGGGCGCCGTCGGGCCGGGCGCCGTCGGGCGCCGTCGGGCGGGCGGGCGCGGGCGCGGGCCGTCGGGCGCCGTCGGGCCGGGCGCCGTCGGGCCGGGCGCCGTCGGGCGCCGTCGGGCGGGCGGGCGCGGGCGCGGGCCGACGTCCGCCGTCGGGCCGGGCGCCGTCGGGCGCCGTCGGGCGGGCGGGCGCGGGCGCGGGCCGACGTCCGCCGTCCGTCGGGCGCCGTCGGGCCGGGCGCCGTCGGGCGCCGTCGGGCGGGCGGGCGCGGGCGCGGGCCGACGTCCGTCGGGCGCCGTCGGGCCGGGCGCCGTCGGGCGCCGTCGGGCGGGCGGGCGCGGGCGCGGGCCGACGTCCGTCGGGCGCCGTCGGGCCGGGCGCCGTCGGGCGCCGTCGGGCGGGCGGGCGCGGGCGCGGGCCGACGTCCGTCGGGCGCCGTCGGGCCGGGCGCCGTCGGGCGGGCGGGCGCGGGCGCGGGCCGACGTCCGTCGGGCGCCGTCGGGCCGGGCGCCGTCGGGCGGGCGGGCGCGGGCGCGGGCCGACGTCCGTCGGGCGCCGTCGGGCCGGGAGCCGTCGGGCGCCGTCGGGCGGGCGGGCGCGGGCGCGGGCCGACGTCCGTCGGGCGCCGTCGGGCGGGCGGGCGCGGGCGCGGGCCGACGTCCGTCGGGCGCCGTCGGGCCGGGCGCCGTCGGGCGCCGTCGGGCGGGCGGGCGCGGGCCGTCGGGCGCCGTCGGGCGCCGTCGGGCGCCGTCGGGCGGGCGGGCGCGGGCCGTCGGGCGCCGTCGGGCGCCGTCGGGCGCCGTCGGGCGCCGTCGGGCGGGCGGGCGCGGGCCGTCGGGCGCCGTCGGGCGCCGTCGGGCGCCGTCGGGCGCCGTCGGGCGCCGTCGGGCGGGCGGGCGCGGGCCGTCGGGCGCCGTCGGGCGCCGTCGGGCGCCGTCGGGCGCCGTCGGGCGGGCGGGCGCGGGCCGTCGGGCGCCGTCGGGCGCCGTCGGGCGCCGTCGGGCGCCGTCGGGCGGGCGGGCGCGGGCCGTCGGGCGCCGTCGGGCGCCGTCGGGCGCCGTCGGGCGGGCGGGCGCGGGCCGTCGGGCGCCGTCGGGCGGGCGGGCGCGGGCCGACGTCCGTCGGGCGCCGTCGGGCGGGCGGGCGCGGGCCGACGTCCGTCGGGCGCCGTCGGGCGCCGTCGGGCGCCGTCGGGCGGGCGGGCGCGGGCCGTCCTCCGTCGGGCGCCGTCGGGCGCCGTCGGGCGGGCGGGCGCGGGCCGTCCTCCGTCGGGCGCCGTCGGGCGCCGTCGGGCGGGCGGGCGCGGGCCGTCCTCCGTCGGGCGCCCTCGGGCGCCGTCGGGCGGGCGGGCGCGGGCCGTCCTCCGTCGTCCGTCCGTCGATGGTTTGGGCCTCACATCGGAGCTTGCGACAGGGTCGCAAACTTACGTGCGCGGACCGTTCGTGTATGCCAGCACCACGTGCGCCATGATCATTACGTTCGGCGATCCCGTGAGCGGCAACCTTCCCCGTTGTCTGCTCCACGCGCTTTTCGCCTTCGTTTCCCCTCCACCTCATCTCGGTTCTCCTTTCATTGAGATATGCATTTCCCCCCACCATCCTCCCCCACTTCCCAACTGCCTACTTCCCCCACCGCCCCTTTCCCAGCTGCCGACAGTGTCAGTGCGGCGAGCGGGAGTGCAAACCGTCATTTCCAGTGTTGGCGCAACAATCATTGCAAAGATGGGCGGGAAAGGGGGATTCAGAGGGGAATGCGGGAATGGCAAGGGCGTTGGTGGTGGCGTCTGGGGTGGTGGCGAGGAGGAGGCATGGGAGGGGTGAGATGTGTGTGGAGGGCGGTTGCAAGAGTGGGCACGGTGTCGCCACACGCACCGCACCTCATGTGAGACTTTTTTTAATATTGTCAATCTTACCTTGCCCCTCAGTTTCCCTCTTTGCCCCCCCTCGCCCATCTACGCACACTCACATTCACATACACTCACATACAGACACACATACACGCACATCCCCACACGACTTTCCTCCTCCCCCTTCGCCCCTCCCTCCCTTCATTGCTTCTGGCTCCTCTGCCGTATCCTTCTCCCATAGTCTCTCCCCATATTCCCTCCCCTTGTCCCGCATGGCTGTGAGCAGGTGGCGAGGGAAACCGTCCCCACCAACCGTCCCCGCATGGATGTGAGCAGGTGGCTGTGAGTGCAAACCGCATGTCCAGTGTTGGCACAACAGTCATTGCAAAGGTGGACGGGAAAGGGGGATTCAGAGGGGAATGCGGGAATGGCAAGGGCGTTGGTGGTGGCGTCTGGGGTGGTGGCGAGGAGGAGGCATGGGAGGGGTGAGATGTGTGTGGAGGGCGGTTGCAAGAGCGGGCACGGTGTCGCCACACGCACCGCACTTCACGTGAGACTTTTTTTGTTCTTGTCCATCTTACCTTGCCCCTCAATTTCCCTCTTTGGCCCCCCTCGCCCATCTACGCACACTCACATTCACATACACTCACATACAGACACACATACACACACATCCCCACACGACTTTCCTCCTCCCCCTTCGCCCCTCCCTCCCTTCATTGCTTCTGGCTCCACTGCCGCATCCTTCTCCCATTGTCCCTCCCCATATTCCCTCACCTTGTCCCGCATGGCTGTGAGCAGGTGGCGAGGGTGACGCCATGACCAGCCATGGCGGACATAGTGCGTGTGGGCGCACATGACGTCACGGACAAGTTCCCAGTCATCGTCAGGGGGACGCTCTGTTACCCAGGCGGCCGTCTGGACCGCTCTGTTGCCCAGGCGGCCGGCAAGGTAACCAGTTGTTACTAGAAGGTTTCGGGTTCGTGAAGAATCGGGAACGGGACATTTCCGAATTCAATAAAAGGTTGTAACTTCCTAAACAGTGTATTCAGTGCACAAAAAAATATAAGCATTTAACGCTCTAATGAGGGTTACTATTGAACCTAGAACCTCTCTAGCCCGAGTACCCCATCCCGTGGGTGCGGGTCGTCCTCCGTCGGGGGCGGGCCGTTCTCTGTCGGGCGACGTCGAGCGCGGGCCGTCCTCCGTCGGGCGGGCGCGGGCCGTCCTCCGTCGCGCCGTCCTCCGTCGGGCCGTCCTCCGTCGGGCCGTCCTCCTTCGGGCGCGGGCCGTACTCTGTCCTCCTGACGTGAAGGTGTTAGTCGATGGTTTGGGCCTCACATTGGAGCTTGCGCCAGGGCCGCAAACTTACGTGCGCGGACCGTTCGTGTATACCGGCACCACGTGCGCCATGACCGTTACGCCCGGCGACCCCGTGAGCGGCAACCTTTCCCGTTGTCTGCTCCACGCGCTTTCCGCCTTCGTTTCCCCGCCACCTCATCTCGGTTCTCCTTTCATTGAGATATGCTTTTCCCCCCACCATCCTCCCCCACTTCCCAACTGCATACTTCCCTCACTGCCCCTTTCTCAGCTGCCGACAATGTCAGTGCGGCGAGCGGGAGTGCAAACCGTCATTACCAGCATTGGCGCAACAGTCATTGCGAAGGTGGGCGGGAAAGGGGGATTCAAAGGGGAATGCGGGAATGGCAAGGGCGTTGGTGGTGGCGTCTGGGGTGGTGGCGAGGAGGAGGCATGGGACGGGTGAGATGTGTGTGGAGGGCGGTTGCAAGAGCGAGCACGGTGTCGCCACACGCACCACACCTCACATGAGACTTTTTTTGTTCTTGCCCATCTTACCTTGCCCCTCAATTTCCCTCTTTGTCCCCCTTCGCCCATCTACTCACACTCACATTCACATACACTCACATACAGATACACATACACACACATCCCCACACGACTTTCCTCCTCCCCCTTCGCCCCTCCCTCCCTTCATTGCTTCTGGCTCCTCTGTCGTATCCTGTTCCCGTTGTCTCTCGCTATATTCCCTCCCCTTGTCCCGCATGGCTCTGAGCAGGTGGCGAGGGAGACGCCACGACCAGCCATGGCGGACATAGTGTGTGTGGACGCACATGACGTCACGGACAAGTTCCCAGGCATCGTCAGGGGGCCGCTCTGTTACCCAGGCGACCGCTCTGTTGCCCAGGCGGCCGGCAAGGTAACCAGATGTTACGAGAAGGTTTCGGGGTTCGCAAAGAATCGGGAACGTGACCTTTCCGAATTCAATAAAATAGATTCGGCGAAATCACACCTACGCAAAGTCACGTTGAAATTACCAAAGTGAGACAGGATTTGGTGCACGCAATCTATTTCGGTGCTATAAATACAATTGCTATAGAAAAACAATGAATCCATGAGCAAGCACAAATGATAATAGAAAAAATATCATTAAAAACGTAAAAACGTATTTATCAATGCATTTAGCATATCCTTAGAATCAGGATTGAGGTTGAGTGTTGCCTTCTTGAACAGGAACTCGTCACAAGCGTCCTTGGTGTATTTGTGCAAAACGATATAACAGAGTTAGGGCGAATGTAACAGGGTTACTGATGCAATGTTCAATGAACCATACCTTCCAGTCGGGAGTCGACCGGTCCACTTGTTTTGACTCCTTAGTAATGTGGGTTATGAGCACCAGAACGCTTTTCAGGTATTCGGCGAGGCGTCCGTTATCTTTCTGATAAACCCCAGCAATCGCCTTCTGGGCTTCTCATTCACATCAGGTTTGGCGCGCTCTTCCTCGTCGTACCAACATCAGTTGAATGCACAAGCCCCGTCGCCCTTGTCATAAGCAACTCCATCGGGCTACTGTCGAGGGTTCCTGTTGAGGGGGAAAACATTTTCGCATGGCTCGTTACATGTGACAAAGCATCGACCAGATTGTTGGGGGATGCTGAATATTTCAGAACAGCAACAGAGAGCAGTCACTTTAAGCACGGTATACTAGACCTACCTTCCTCAGCAGCAATTGTCCCGACAGGGTAACAGCATCAAGAGCCACATCAGCAGGAGGGGGACCACTGTCAGAAGCAGCAGCAGGGGAAGATCCGTCAGAAGTGGCAACGGCAGCGAAGGGACCTCTGACAGCAGCAGCAGCGGGGGGACCGCCGCCAGCGACGGAACGTTGTCCGACGACGTCGGAACGTTCATCGTCGGCAGGAGCATTGAGTAGCGGGCAAGCAATGTTTGGTGCAGACTGCACCCCTGCTGCCGGTGCAAGCACGGTTTTCTGTCAAACTCATATGCTATAGTCTGTGTAGGCTGTAGTGGGGTAGACAATATGGGGTACAGCACTTTTAGGTTTTCCTACTTGTACCCACCTGCTTGCTAGTTCATTCATTCCTTCCTCATTTCTTCACATGGTATAGAGCAGGTTCCCTGATGGGAACACTTCTCAGGGCCCACCACGATATTTTTTTTTTCCTGCCCGGAGCGCGCTTCGCTCCTGCCCGAGTCGCGCCCCGTGTGCCCTCCCTACCGTCGCGCCCTCTCACGGCCCCTCACGGCCCCTTCGTGTCGCCCTTAGCGGCCCCTCTCACGGCCCTTCGCGGCCCCTTACGGCCCCTCGCGCCGCCCTTACGGCCCCTCGCGCCGCCCCTACGGCCCCTCGTGCGGCCCCTTACGGCCTCTCGCGCCGCCCGTCGGCCCCTCGCGCCGCCCTTAGCGGCCCCTTACGGCCCCTCACGCCGCCCTTACGGCCCCTTACAGCCCCTCGCGCTGCCCGTCGGCCCCTCGCGCCGCCCTCGTCGGCCCCTTACGGCCCCTCGCGCCGCCCTCGTAGGCCCCTTACGGCCCCTCGCGCCGCCCTGGTCGGCCCCTTACGGCCCCTCGCGCCGCCCTCGTCGGCCCCTTACGGCCCCTCGCGCCGCCCTTCTCGGCCCCTTCGCGGCCCACCGTCGCAGCCCCTACTGCAGCAGCCGCAGCCGTCACCAGCAGCAGCCGCAGCCGTCACCAGCAGCAGCCACCGGCGCGCCTCGGCCCGACCCTGCCGGCGCGCCTCGGCCCGTACCTGCCGGCGCGCCTCGGCCCGTCCCTAGTGGCGCGCCTCGGCCCGTCCCTGCCGGCGCGCCTCGACTCGTCCCTGCCGACGCGCCTCGGCTCTGCCTGCGCACCTCGGCCCGTCCCTGCCAGTGCGCCTCGGCCCTGCCCCACCACTTGCGGCCCTCTGCCCTGGTAAGAGCATCGCCGCACTGCTGCTCCTGCTACTACTGCTGCTACTGCTGCTACTGCTGCTACTGCTACTACTGCTATCATGGCTACCCCTAGCGTCCTCGTCTTTGATGCTGAGGGTAGGGCTGTTGACTTTGAGGTCTGGGTCGATGATCTGCAGCTTTTCCTACAGTGCGATAGGAAAGACGGTCTCTCACTGTTCGATCTCACCTCTGGCGCCTCTCCTGCCCCTGCTGCTGATGCTGACAGCACTGTTCGCTCACAGTGGGCCACACGCGATGCTGCTGCCCGTCTTGCTGTGCGTAGTCACTTGCCGTCCACTGAGCGCGCGCACTTTAGTCAGTACAAGAGTGCTAAGACCTTGTACGACGCTGTCATTGCACGCTACTCTTCCCCTGCCACTGCTGCCCTTAGCCGCCTCATGCTGCCGTACCTGTTCCCTGACCTAGCCGCCTTTCCCACAGTCGCTGACCTCATTACGCACCTTCGCACTAGTGACACCCGCTACCGCGCTGCGCTTCCTGCTGAGTTCTGCGCCAAGACCCCCCCCCCCATGTACATCACCATCTACTACATAGTCACCCGGCTCCCTGACTCCCTTCGCTTAGTCAGGGACCACTTCCTCTCAGTTTGCCCCACCACACTCACCGTTGACCTCCTCGAGGAGCGCCTCCTGGCAGCAGAGAAGAGCATAGTCGCTGTAGGAGCCTCTCGTGGTGACCCTCGTACCCCCGTCTTTGAGGGGTGTTCCCCCTCCCCCCTCTTGCCCTCTGTTGCTTCTGCTGCTGCGGCCGACCTCGTTGGTTTCGAGTCGGTCGGCGCTGCGTCTGCCCCTAGCGGGAGACGCCGCACAGGCAAGGGCAAGGGGGGCAAGGGCGCTGGAGGGGCTGGCGAGGGCGGTGGAGGTGGCGGTGGAGGCAGTGGAGGGGGTGGGGGTGGTGGTGGGAGTGGTGGCGGGGGTGGAGGTGTCGGTGGCAGCAGTGGAGGCGGAGGAGGCGGCGGCGGTGGCGGTGGGAGCGGAGGCGGCGGAGGCGGCGGCGGCGGCGGCGGCAGTGGAGCTGGTCACGGCTCTGCACAGAGGAGTGGCTCCGGTAGTGGTCAGCGCCAGCAGCAGCAGCGCACTCGTGAGACCCCGTCCCCCCAGCAGCTTCGTGAGTGGTACGCTGGGCGTCAGCGAGGTGGGGGTACTGGTCCCTGTACCTACGTCCTCCGTACTGGCGACCGCGCTGGTGAGCAGTGCGGGGGCTCGCACTCCACCCAGCGCTGCTTCGGCCGCCTGACGGACGCTTGGCGTCACCAGTTCCCTGACGCCACTGAGATCCCTCGCTGGGGAGAGCTGTCTAGGGCGGGGGTTGCTATCTTTGATCTTGACTATGATGCTATTCTTGCTGCCATGTATGCTGTGTCTACTAGTGATGAGGGTGACTGTTACCTGTGTGTTCCGCCTGACCCGGGCATTGAGGCTGCTGCTCTAGGTGCTGGTGAGGCTGCTGCTCTAGGTGCTAGTGCGTCTGCTGCCCCAGGTGCTGGTGAGTCTGCTCTCTCAGGTACCACGTCGGCTCAGGCCTTACACACCTTCACCCTTGACTCGGGTGCTTCCCGCTCCTTCTTTCGATACCGCACCACGCCTACGCCGCTTAGTCGGCCGGTTGCGGTCTCCCTGGCAGACCCCTCTGGGGGTCCTGTCCTTGCTAGCTTCTCCACTGTCTTACCGTGTCCGGCAGCCCCCTCTGGCACCCTGTCAGGTCTCTACCTCCCCTCGTTCTCTACGAACTTGGTGAGTGGTGCTGATCTACAGGATCGGGGGGTTGACCAGTTCACTCCTATGAGTCAGCGGGTGACCCACTGTACGTGTGCTCGGACGGGCCGACACTTGGCCACGTTTACCCGTCGACCGGGGTCGAGCCTGTACACACTGACTACTGAGTCTCCTCCGGTTGCTGCGTCTGGTCAGGTAGCTGCGTCGAGTCAGGTGTTTGCTGCAGCGTCCAGGTCTGGTCCTGAGTCTGCTCCCTGCTCGTGTCATCTCCTGTCCCACCAGACTCTCCTTTGGCACCACCGCCTTGGTCACCCCTCCCTGCCTCGTCTCCGAGGCATGGCCTCCCGTGTCCTTGTCTCTGGTCTCCCCCGGTCCCTCCCTCCCCTCCTTCCGGGGCCTGCCCCTACCTGCGTTCCCTGCGTCGAGGGGCGGCAGCGCGCCGCCCCTCACTCCTCCGAGTTTCCTCCGACAGAGGCTCCCCTGCAGACTCTTCACATGGACGTGTGGGGCCCCGCCCGCGTCCGTGGCCAGGGTCACGAGCGTTACTTCCTGTTGGTGGTTGACGACTACTCGCGTTACACCACGGTGTTCCCCTTGCGCAGCAAGGGTGACGTCACTGAGGTGTTGATCGACTGGATCCGCGCAGCTCGTCTCCAGCTCAGAGAGAGTTTCGGCTCGGACTTTCCTGTTCTGCGTCTGCACTCTGACAGAGGCGGGGAGTTTTCCTCTGCCCGTCTGGGAGCCTTCTGTCGTGCACAGGGCATCCGCCAGACCTT